AATGTTTTTGAGCGACAGTGAGCAAATGCTGCACCCACTTTGAATACAACTTTCTCATTGACAAATGACCATGCAAAATAGTGAATACACTGCCTTCTGATATCTTTAAATCTTCTGCTACCTCATGCAACTCCAGTTCATGATCGGTTAAAACGATTTTATGTAATTTTTTGATGTTTTCTGGAACATCTGCAAAATTTGGACGACCTGAACAATTAAGCCTCGTTTATGTCTGTGCAACCACGTTTTAAGTCTGCGTACCACATTTTAACCATTATTGGCGACGGAGTAGAATCCGAATAACACTTTGTGACGGGGCTTTATCGGTACTTTTCTAATAATCCTCTTTAGATATCTTTGGGGCCAGAATTGCAACTCTTTCCAACCAAACCAAGAAGAGAGCGTGGTTATGCAGATTAGGAATTATATACACTGCTGGCCACCGTAAATGCAACACCAAAAAAGACAAGAATTTAAACAAAAAACAAAGAACAAGAACACAACAAAATTTATTTTGTAGATAACATGTTGAACAAGTATCAAATGATTAAATTTATAGACTTCTGTGAAGTGTGGTTCACACGCCTCGGCATTGATTCAAAGAGACTTTGGATGTGTTCTTGAGGTACAGCAGGCCAAGAAGCTTCCACACGTTGCCAAAGTTGATCTGGTGTGGCAGCTGGAGGTGTAATCTGGGTCAATCGTTGAGCAACCACGGACCACATATTTTCTATCGGCGAAAGATCCGGAGAGCAAGCCGGCCAGGGAAGCAATTCAATCTGGTGGTTGACGAAGAACCTTTGGACAATGCATGCCACGTGTGGTCGCGTATTATCCTGTTGAAATATGGCTGTGGTCAAGCCCTGAAGGTAGGGAAGGACAACTGGCTCAAACACCTCGGAGATGTAGCGTTGGCTGTTTAAAGTACCGGCAATGCGTACTAGAGGAGTACGAGAGTGATATCCAATACCACCCCATACCATAATACCCGGTGAAGGACCAGTGTGGTGGTGCATAACGAAGCTGTTCAGCATCCTCTCTCCACGGTGTTTTCAGACTTGAATCCGACCATCGTGGTGTTGCAGACAGATGTGTGACTCGTCAGTAAAGGCAACTTCATTCCCTTCTGCCGCCCACATCCTTGTTTCATCGCACCATTGGTGGCGAAGACGTCTGTGGTTCTGCGTCAAAGGTAGACCAAGTAATGGACGTCTTGCGGACAGACCACTCTGCTGTAAACGGCGTCGAATGGTACGCGCAGACACTGAATGATGCGTAACAGACTCAATGTGCTGTGCGATGGACCACGTTGGTCCATCGTACCCTCCTGCATCCAATGGTCACATATCCGCATTACAGGTGTTTGGTTTCGTCCAACACGACTACCGATTTCCCTGAAAGATGATCCACAATCTCGGTAGGCCATTATCCTTCCTCTGTCGAAAACAGATACTTGATCAAAAGCTGATCGCTGTTTTCTACGAGACATAACTGATCGTTTTTTGAAAAAACCACAAGAAAAACACAATTGCCGAACTTGAAATCGTCGAAATCTCCAAGCCTTAAATAGAGCTTTGAGGTGGCGCCACAGACGCATGTGATGTGGTTCTGCGCTGAAATTCTAATCATTTACATATCTCATATCCGCTAATGCATGTTGTATATTTCATGTTATTTGCATGCTTCCTTCAGGGTGTTGCATTTACGGTGTCCAGCAGTGTATATAGGAACATTAGTATTCGCATGGAACGCTAAGTGAAGATATATGAAGAGAAGTAAAGCTAAGGTAAGTGAGGTAAAGCTCTAGGTGAAATTCTAGGAGAAAAGTCTAAGTGTAATCTACGAGTTCTATGAGTCGGTCTAATTGTGCCAGTCAAGTTTATTTAAAAGTGGGTCCGAGTACCGAAGAGCCGGATCAAGTTGGATCGAAAAAAAGATATAAGGACTGTAGCTGTTCTCCGAGGAAACAGAGGGAAGGACACTTTGCTTAAGCTTTAAGACTAGATCGGATTCTAATAAGTTAGGAAAAATCAGCTATAAATATAGAAACGGTGGTTTATTGAGCTATTTATCATAATTACGGTTTACGTTCTCATCACTCCTGATCATAAGTCTCCTAGTCTAGTGTTGTCTTATTGAATATATATTAAGATCATAATAAAAAAAAACTAATTCTATTATGGCAGAGTTTAGTGGTCAATCCTTCATTCTCTCAAACATAGGTCACATGGATGGTGACGAGATGATACCCCCAGCTCGCGGGGTATCGCAACTTATCTAGCCATTCTTTTGCTTGAACAGTGTTTTTCTTATCAATAAGGACGAAATTTTTTTTCATCCATGGTTTCTAAGTAAACAAAAGTTGCTTCACTAAAATCACTGCAACTTTTCAACTGAACAAGGTATAATCACGAAATTTTGACACGTGCCATTTGAAAGTTAGTACTGCTAGGTTAGATGTAGGAAAGTTAGAAGGTTGCGCAATTTATGAGTTTCGCCCGGAATTTACTGAGTGTTGTGTTATGTGGCAGTAAAGATTAGTAGAGTTATAAAGGCAAATTCATGAAAAATATTTTCGATTGAAAAATAAGATTGCTTTGACAATTTTTTTACCATTTTCAACAAAAATTATTCAAATCATTACATCAAAATAATACTATTTTTCTATCATTTTGCATGGTTAAGAGTTTAGAGACTTACTATTTTTTAATGGTTCTTTGCAGCGGTGCAAACGAAAATTTTTTAAGGAGAGGGGGAATAGGGTTCCAGGGTCAAAAGTCTATCATTATCGTACCATACATCAATACGCCGCTAAACATATTCTTTTGATTTTTTTTCCATTTTTGGAACAAAAAACAGCAAAAAGTGAGTTATTGAATTAATTATTAGGATTAAATAATAAAATAAATTTTTAATGACAAATAAAAAAAAATTACGTTCTATACACATACGATTATCATCAAACGAAAAAAAAAGGCTATGGGGCTATCCAGACCCATGGACTCCTTTCCATTTGCGCGCCACTTGCTATTTGTCTTGATTAATCATACTCATCTTTGGTTCATCTAAATGAATTTTTTATTCAAAATATCCCTCGCGATTTAAATTTTGTTGAAAAACAATAGAACTTTAAAATTACGTTTTTATATAATAATAAGCAAAATGGAAAATTTGAAACATTTATTAAAAATTTTTACAACTCAAAAAAGCATTTGCAATGCTATTATAAACATAATTGCACAAAAAAGTTAAAGATTATTTTTCTTCTTTATTAACAATGCATTCAAAGAAATACGGAATAAATTCTGTATTTACTATTAAGTATTAATATAAATTATATGATTTAATATTATAAATATTAATTCTTGAGGAGTTTCAGAAATTTTCTGATATAAATCTCTTTTCACATGAGAAATTTTTTTTATTCGTATATGTCAAGTTAAAGAAAAACTCAGGGTATTATTAATAATACCCGGCTATTATTAATTCATTCTAATCACATTTATTGGTAAATATCAATAATTAACAATGGTTTAGTCATTTTTATTAATTAACTATAATTTATGGAAATCACAACTCTTAACGAAATTTTTATCACAAGACAAGAAATGTATAAAATTACATACATTATAGCAATTAAGTCAGAGATGTAGTTTAGTCAATGTAAAAGAATGTTTATCAAGGTACACCAATTATTTATTTTACCAAGCAAATTGTATTATACACATATACCGGTTAATTATTAAAAATAACCAGCTATTATTAATACTAATCATGGTGAGCATCCCGAAGAATACTGTCGTTTCTATTTAATATGAATAATCAACCGATATTGCCTCACTGTTGCCAAATGACAAAAACAAACTTCAGAAGTGGTAAAACTTAATACAATAGTGAGACGTTGAAGCGGGAAATTATTTGCATGCGTAATTGGAACCTAAGTTGCGATGAGAGTTATTATATTGACCAAACTTCATTGGTAATTATTAGCCACTAATAGTTAATATGATACATGGTCATAAATTGTTTAACTAGATTATTTAACTAGCATTAATAACTATCCGTTGTTATTTATAATAGTCAATACATGGCATTTATCACATTATACTTACACATAACGTATATATATATGTAATAAATATTTAATTCAATACTAGGTGGGGGGAGGGAGTGTAACCCCCTGTTTGCCTAATGGCAGACCAACCCTCATTGTACAAACAAATTATGGGGGGAGGGTTCGGAAGCGTAAAAATTAATTAAAGAAAATAAGCGTTCCAGAAATTCAAAAATCCTGTCCTTTTTAAATCAAGGGGGAAGGCAGTAGCGTAACGGAGAATATGGGACTCCCCCGCCTGCAAAGTCAGGTTTTAGGACCCCTAGAATCCTGCCTCTCCCCGCAATGCGGGGTGCACGATACGCCACTGAGGAGAGGGCTATAAGAATGTTTTTAAATACAATCGAGCCCTTGCAGTCTACAAACAATATATAACCAAGCATCATCAAAAAACACCTAGCGATGTGGGCGGGTACAGGCTAATTAAGAATAAAGATGGCCTTCATAATTTCTTACTGATATTTGAAAAAAAATTTTTTTTACTCATAAAAAAAAAGAAATTTTTTGAATATATTGTTTGTTGTGTAAAGAAACCAATAGAATTAACTCATTTTGATATAATAGAATTTTATATCGAAATATTTTCTAGTTTAAAAAAGATAGAAGTAATAGTTGAATATTTTATGGTCAGTTAAATATTACATTCTTATAAAACAAAAAATTCTTTTTGGAAAATAAAATGTCTAAATTATAAGAAGAATTTTTTTCCTTAGTGATGTAATAAGAAATATTTTTTTTTGTAATATATAAACTAGTAAAATAAAAAAAAATTAAAGTTAATTCCTATTTTGGACTATTTTTTTTCGTATATTTCTATTTATTCATTAATTAAATTTAATTATTCCAATAGTATAGAAAAAGGAAATCACATTCTCAGAAATTATGCCATCCCAGGTAGGATTCGAAACCACGATTTTTGGATCAGAAATCCAACGCGCTAACGCAACGCCCAACGCTGCATTGCGCTACATGGATACAACAAGCGATTTTCCTTTTTATATATGGTGTTGGACTATTATTTTTGTTTCTTACTATTTATTTATTTATTAAACTTAATTAATGAATTAATATTTGAAAAAAAACTGTATTAACATCAAGTGTCATTCACTACAAGTTTAAAAAATGTACTTCGTCTTGAGTGGATGAATAGAAATTATTTTATTAACGACTGAAAATTTTGAACATGATATATATATATAACTATATATAGGAAGAGTGTAAACTCTAAAATAGTAGGAATTGAAAAAATAAATATATAAAATCTAGTACTTAAAATATCTCAAACCCCATTATTGGCTTCTAAACACATTAAAGGATACTCAATAAGACAAAATACAAAAGTCTCATGTATATTACTAGTTAAACTAACAAAAATACACGAATTACCGAGAGAAACTTCCCATTTCTGAAACGCCTCATTTATTTTAATAAACACTTCCCGCTTTAGAAACTATTGACAATGTTCCTTTGTGAAATATTTGAACTAAACACGTAGTAAATAAACGAAGAACAATTGTGGCAGAGTCGCTTTGACTTTAAAATTTTGGATATAAAGAGAGTTCGGGTTACGAGAGAGAGCAATTTATTTCGTATTACTTGGCAGCCAAGAATCCGAAGCCAAATAACTGTCATCACAGGATTGGGTTTCACGACAGGGGAATATTTAGAGTGACAATTAGAATTCTTTAAGGAATTTGTGTCAATATTTCTTGAAAAATAATCTTAAATTCCCCCTCAGACCTTTTAAACTTGACTTTACTTTAGGAAGTAAAGTTGACAAAAAGTTAAAGAATATTTTTAGCAGATAATGAAATGAACAATTTATAAGAAATGGTAAAAATTGTTTTGTAATGATACTTTGTTTGTGATAAAAAAATATTTCTCGGTTGTAAGATACCATGTTTATAATAAGAAACAAAAGAATATGTCGGTTTAGCCTCCCCATTGAAAAATATCTTAGTTTAATCTTACTTGCCTTAAAAATGAAATCTTGTGTATTAGTTCACACTCTCCATATATATATATATATATATATATATATATATATATATATATATATATATATATATATATAATATTATGAAATATTTCTATAATATTGCTGGCGAGTGGTACGTATACTGTAACGAAATGACAGGGCGTGGCCATTGGAAGGGATTTCTTAATATTGGATCCATTTTTTAATTAGTGTTGATGTTGTCTACAAGTAAGATTGACGAGGCAGACTGGTGATAATTTAAATACGTTTAAATTCACATCTTGAAACACATAAGCATATTAAACATAAAGCATGGAATAGACGAGCATTACAGAATGGCAACGCGCTGCATTCGATTACATGGTGAAAGGACTAAGAACAAAAAGGAGAGAGAGAGCGATTTCCAGTTATCTCGTTAGTTATAACCAGCGGGAAATTACATGACTAGGGTGAGTGGCTGGATACAATTCCAAAAGTCCCCATTAGGCAGGTAGCTAGTTTAAATAACTAAACCATTGTCCTGAAGGACTGGACCATAGATAAATCAAAAACTATTAAACATTAAATTACTCGGAATTATTACATATATATATGCAATAATTCCCTCTAGTATCCTTTTTATTAACTCTTTGTACTAATATTTAAAATAACTTTAACTCTTTGGTTGAAAATTAACCTTGCAATCTTAATCGTAATCGGCTAGTCCGAAAAATCCCTGTCCCACCCATTCCATCAAATCAGAACTACGAGTACGTAATCATCACGCGCTTGCATGTTGGTATAAAAAGCAAAAATCTTGGGTAATCGCTCTCTTTTGTCTACCTGCCTTCATCATGTAATCAGCCTGCTGCAACGAGTTCTATGTTTATCTATGTTTGTGCTTGTGCTTGTGCTATGATGTTTGATTCTTGTATGTGTAATGCCGTACCTACTGGATCTTTATGTGTCTACGGATGTGAATAAAAAGGAATTACGATTTACATGAGTGCCTCTTCGATAATACTGTACTCCACCACGCTCCACGTAACACAGAAAATCACATCACCGGCCACGTCTTACAATTATTTTTACCACACTCTCCAGAAATATTATAAAAATATTTCATTAGACGGTAGGATCCAATAGCCTGTTGTTTGTACGTGGGAGAGAAATTAGTAAGTCAAGATAAAAAATGTTGGATAATATTTCACGTAAAATTATAATTAAAATCTTCATGCTTGCCACGCCCCGATAGGGATTTCGGACTAGCCGATTACGATTAAGATTACAATGTTAATTTTAAACCAAAGAGTTAGTTATTTTAAATATTAGTACAAAGAGTTAATAAAAAGGTACTAGAGGTAATTATTACACACATACACACACACACACACACACACATATATATATATATATATATATATATATATATATATATATATATATATATATATATATATATATATATATATAAATTTATATATCTTGTTCAAATTTTCATTCGTTAATAAAATATATTTTTTATTCATCCATTCAAGTTCAATTACATTTTTTTAAACTTGTAGTGGATGGCACTTCAGAATAAATATGTTAATACAGTTTTTTCAAATATTAAATTATCTATTCTATTTAATGAATACATAGTAACAAACAAATATAATAGTCCAACAGCACATATAGAAAGGAAAATCGCTCCCCTTGCGTCTCTGCATCCCAATGGATAGCGCGTTGGACTTCTAGTCCAAAGGTCGTGGGTACGAATCCCACGTGAAATGGCCTAATTTATAAGAATGTGATTCATTTCTGTACTATACTATTTTATTAGAATAATTAAATTTAATGAATGAATAAATAGTAATTAAAAAACAAAAAAAGTAGTCCAACAATATAAAGAGTGTTTTTTTTCCAGGTATAGAAGTTTAAGTTGGCATTACTTTCCAAGATGGCGACCGATTTAACAGCTGTCAAGTGATTTATTCTCAGTTTGGTTTGGCAATTCATCAAAGCGATCATCAAGCAAGGCGAAGATTCGTCGAACGGGCCCAAAACGAGATTGCCGTTGTTCCCGATTTTCATAAGCGAATTTTGTTTAGCGATGAAGCGCACTTCTGGTTGAATGGCTACGTCAACAAACAAAGCTGCCGCATTTGGAGCGAAGCTAATCCACAAGTGTATGTCGAAACACCGTTACATCCAAAAAAATTGACGGTTTGGTGCGCTTTATGGGCTGGTGGAATCATTGGTCCGTACTTCTTCAAAAACAATGAAGGCCACAACGTTACAGTCAATGGTGATCGGTATAGAGCCATGATTACTAACTTTTTCATTCCTGAATTGAACAATCATGATGTCCACGGGCTGTGGTTCCAACAAGATGGAGCAACATGTCACACAGCTCGTGCCACAATCGATTTATTGAAAGACACGTTTGGTGACCGCCTAATTTCACGTTTTGGACCTGTGAATTGGCCTCCAAGATCTTGTGATTTAACACCGCTAGACTATTTTCTGTGGGGCTATGTAAAGTCATTGGTCTATGCCGATAAGCCACAAACGCTTGACCATTTGGAAGACAACATTCGCCGTTTTATTGCCGATATACGGCCCCAAATGTTGGAAAAAGTCATCGAAAATTGGACGTCCAGATTGGACTACTTCCAAGCCAGCCGTGGCAGTCCTATGCGAGAAATCATATTTAGAATGTAATGCCACAAGATTATCTTTCGAATAAAAAAATTCTTGTCAATCGAATAATACATCGTTGTTTTATTGCAATTTAAAGTTCTATACCTCTAAAAAACACCCTTTATATAGAAAGGAAAATGGAAAATCGCTTTCTATTTTGTTACTTAATATTGTGATTCTGTCCAATGTACATACATATTTATATTAATAAAAAGTAACTAAAATAAAATGTTTCTTCGTTGACCTAAGTAAGAATTGATTTTAAACTTTTTTTATTACATTTTACATGTTTCTAAGTGAATTGTCTTTTGTCCCAACATATTATGTTTGTTTTCGAAAATATGTTGATCTAAACAGAGTTTACTAATTTTTTCCAAAACCTTCCTGTTTATTTTGTATTTTTTTGTTCCCACAATAGCTTCATTATCCTTTTTGTTTGCCTTCTCTGTGTATCACTCAGAAAGTACAGTATAAATATCTTTCTTCTCAAAGAAGTGAGTATACTGCTATCTCTTCTACAAGTCACAAATAATAGGAAACCCTAATAGGGATACCTTTTCGTCACACGCCTCTAAAGCGTGCATGACATAGCAGCGGACTGGAAGGTTGGTGGTTCCAACAAACCACTCATACCAAGTTCAACAGCGTGTCGCCGAAAGACTAAAAATACAGGTTTACTTTACAACAAACAAGTAATATAAAAAAAGATTTTTAAAGTCAATGCCTACTTAGGTCAACAAAGAAAAACGTTATTTTAGTTACTTTTATTAAATAGTTACAATTAATATTGATATGTATATACATATGACAGAACCGCGATATTAAGTGACGAAATAAAAAGCGATTTTCCTTGCAATTTTCCATTTTACTTTCTATATAGAGTGTTGGACTGTTTTTTGTTTGTTTGTTATTATTTATTCATTCATTAAATTCAATTATTCTAATAAAATAGTAAAGTAATAAAAGAAAACCCATTCTCAGAAATTAGGCCATTTCAGGTGGAATTCGAACCCACGACCTTTGGATTAGAAGTCCCACGCGCTATACGTTGCTCTACAGGGGAACAACGAACGATTTTCCTTTTTATATGTCCTGTTGGACTATTATTTTTGTTTATTACTATGTATTCATTTTTTAATTTAATTACTGAATTAATATTTGAAAAAAAATACATTAGCATCAAGTGTCATCCACTCCAAGTTTAAAAAAAATGTAGTTGAACTTGAATGGATCTTAAAAAGTGTTTTATCAACGATTGGAAATTTGAACAAGTTATATATACATTATATAAATATATATATAGGGAGAGAGAGTGAACTAATATTAGGAATTG